TAAAGATGTTGAACAAACGTTAGTCACAGCTGTGTCTAATCCCAACAACACTTTCAATCTCTCTGTTGATACAACATTTGTCGTAGCAACCCAAGTAAACAGTGAGTAAACAGAAGTCACACTTGTCACTCCTGAAAGATTGTTTTTGAAACAAGTCAATACAAATATTTATATTTAACATCAAATATTAACATCTGTGTGTGTGCCCCCCCCCCCCCAAATCCCCGACCCTCACTTAATTTTTTAATGTGCTACTCATAAGGCTACCTTTGACGGGATTTACAATGTATATATATATAAAAAGCATTGTGTTTATGAAAATTACTTTGTTGTCAATTGCTTGCTCTTTGTTTTCTACACTTGTAACAACTACAACTGCTGAGCCAGTTATAACAAAGCAGTTGAAGTTCACATCAATTGGAGAGGCATTTACAGACAACTTGCTGAACTCATCATCTCCAGCGTTTACAGAAAGATCCTCCATGACAGTGACAACAGTAAGTTTTGATCTTCAAGTCAAGCAATAGTTAATTGCATGGATTCGTACTGACAGATCTTTGATTGTGTGTGTTTCTGTAGCTTGAACCTATCTATAAGACAACGTTTCCTTCATACCTCTCAATGATAGTGACTGGATTCCGGTAATTTATTTTTTGTTTGCAGATTCCATATAATATATAATACATAATAAATTAATGCAAGTAAAACGATGTTTGGTTTATTCATTCTGCAGAAACGGATCCATCATCACTGATATTGACATTCGGTTTGCATCTACAGCAGTGCCTAATAACACTGACATTGCAAATGTTTTGATTAATGCAGCTCCAAACATAACGGCCTTCAACATTACCAATGTTACTGTCAGTGACCCTGGTAAGTAATACTGAATATTATCATATTTTAAATTCACAATATGTCAGAACTGTGACATTTAAGTGACACCTGTTTCCTTTTCTTTACATTTACAGTGGTTTCAACTACAACTGTGAGCACTACAACATCAATGATTACAGATACAAATGCAACCACAGCAAATCTTACAAACACCACACGTGTAACAAACACAACTACAGTGTCTACAACAGCTTCAACTACACCTGTGAACACTACAACGTCAATGCTGACGGCAGCTACAAACGCAACCACAACAAATCTTAACAAATACAAATACAGTGTCTACAACAGCTTCAACTACACCTGTGAAAACTACAAAATCAATGCTGACTGCAGCTACAAACGCAACCACAACAAATCTTACAAATACAAATACAGTGTCTACAACAGCTTCAACTACACCTGTGAACACTACAACATCAATGCTGACTGCAGCTACAAACGCAACCACAACAAATCTTACAAACACCACACCTGTAACAAATACAACTACAGTGCTTACAACAGCTTCAACTACACCTGTGAACACTACACCATCAATGCTGACGGCAGCTACAAACGCAACCACAACAAATCTTAAAACCACAACATACAACTACAGGGCTTACAACACTTCAACTACACCTGTGAACACTACAACATCAATGCTGACGCAGCTACAAACGCAACCACAACAAATCTTACAAACACCACACCTGTAACAAATACAACTACAGTGTCTACAACAGCTTCAAGTACACCTGTGAACGCTACAATACCAATGATCACTACCCCTACAAACGCAAAGACAACAAATCTTACAAATACAACTACAGGGCTTACAACCACTTCAACTACACCTGTGAACACTACAACATCAATGCTGACGGCAGCTACAAACGCAACCACAACAAATCTTACAAACACCACACCTGTAACAAATACAACTACAGTGTCTACAACAGCTTCAACTACACCTGTGAATACTACAACATCAATGCTGACCACAGCTACAAATGCAACCACAACAAATCTTACAAACACCACACCTGTAACAACTACAACTACAGGGCTTACAACAGCTTCAACTACACCTGTGAACACTACACCATCAATGCTGACAGGAGCTACAAACGCAATCACAAAAAATCTTACAAACACCACACCTGTAACAAATACAACTACAGTGTCTACAACAGCTTCAACTACACCCGTGAACGCTACAACACCAATGATCACTAGCCCTACAAACGCAACCACAACAAATCTTACAAACACCACAACTGTAACAAATACAACTACAAGGCCTGCAACAGTTTCAACTACACCTGTGAACACTTCAACACCAATGCTGACTACACCTACAAATGCAACCACAACAAATCTTACAAACACCAACCCAACAAGTACAACAACAGCAACAACAACAATGCCAACAACAACAACAACAATGCCAACAACAACAACAAAGCCAACAACAATAACAACAACGCCAACAACAACAACGAAGTCAACAACAACAACAACAACGACAGCAGCAATGGCAGTGGTCCGTGGACCAGTTTTTATTCTAGTAGCCATTTTGTTTACACCCTTTGAAGATGCACTCACTAATACAACCAGTCCACAATTTAAGGCACTTGAGGCACAAGTGGTAGCAATGGTGAGTTAAATACTGAGATGTATTCACAAGTTTTGTTAAATCAACGACATCTGAATTAATTAATTTTCTACTTGTTTGTTTTGCACAGTATGAATTCATCTATACAGCTCGATATGGTTTACTCTTCAGCCATGTTATTGTCAAAGCATTTAGGTAAGATTTTCACTTTTGTTCATTCTTAACAACACTAATCTTATTATCGACAATGACTAAAAATAGTGTTAATTTTGGATATTAAATTAAAAAAATTTTTTTCTTCATTTAGACAAGCTGGGACCAGAACACGAGCATCTAATACTGAAGCAGAAGTGGAAGTTGTGTTTAACAACACGATAACACCTGCAGAAATCCCAGAGGCTGCAGATGTTGCAAAAACCTTAGTAGAAGCTGTGTCTAAGCCCAACAACTTCACATTAACTATTAATGCCACATCTGTCGTAGCAACCCAAGTAAACAGTAAGTAAACAGAAGTCACACATGTCACTCCTGAAGGATTAATTTTGAACAAGGCAATACACAGATTCATTTCTCACATCATATACATAATTATTTCATCCACCTATCTCCCCTAAACTGTCTTATGGAGATTAGATCAAGGCTCTCATCCAATTTTCTCAAACTTAACAGTAATAAAACAGAAGTTTTCCTCATTGGCATAACCTCTATCTTAATCAAATCTCACAGTCTCTCCAATAATATTGAAAATTCCCCAATCCTTCCTTCCCCGCAGGTAAAGAGTTTGGGTGTCATATTCGACAGTACTCTCTCATTTCAGTCTCACATTAATTACGTAACCCGGTCTGCATATTTTCACTTACGTAACATTAACCAACTTCATCCCTTCCTTACTCCCCCATGCTGCTGCCATCCTTGTCCATAGTCTTATTACTTCTTATTACTTATGGGGAACAGAGCTTTCAGTCACTCTGGTCTTTGGCTCTGGAACTCACTTCCGTCAGTCTTAAGAAATATAGATTACCTTCTCTTATTTAAGTCACAGTTCAAAACCCACATGTTTAAACCGGCTTACTCGCTTTAATACATATCTTACTTGCTGTCAAATCTTGTTTTTTCTTTTTATTTGTTGTTTTTTGTATTTTAATTTATTTTAATCTATTTTAATCTACTGTTTTATTGATATATTTTTCTCTTTGTAAGGTGACCTTGGGTTTTAGAAAGGTGCCCTCATATAAAATATATTGTTATTATTATTATTATTATTATTATACATAATAATAATAATAATAATAATATATTTTTCTATATTATTATTATCATTATCATTATTATTATTAATATACAGGCAGCACGGTGGCACGGTGGTTAGCACTGTTGCCGCACAGCAAGAAGGTCCTGAGTTCAATTCCAACATCAGGCCGGGGTCTTTCTGTGTGGAGTTTGCATGTTCTCCCTGTGTTTGTGTGGATTCCCTCCGGGTACTCCGGCTTCCTCCCACCGTCCAAAGACATGCAGCTTGTGGGGATAGGTTAACTGGAAAATCCAAATTTTCACTAGGTGTGAATGGTTGTCTGTCCCTGTGTGTTGGCCCTGCGACAGACTGGCGACCTGTCCAGGGTGTACCCCGCCTCTCGCCCTATGATAGCTGGGATAGGCTCCAGCGCCCCCCGCAACCCTAAAAAGGAGAAGCGGATGGATGGATGGATGGATTATTATTATACAGTTTTGTTTGTGACATAAAAACCCATGTAGTTATCTATATAATAATTTTCTCAAAAAACTCAAAGATAACAATTTCATGCGATACACTTTAAATGAGATTTAATATGTATAAAAAACAACAGACCGTTCAGTCAGTGATTTAGGTAAACAATATTTGATAAGATCATATTTAAAACTCATGATGTCTCAGAACTGTTTGTTAAAGCAACACCTTGTTTCCTTTATTGGCATTTACAACAGCTTCAACTACAACTACAGTGAGCACCACAACATCAGTGACTACACCTACAAATGCAACCACAACAAATCTTACAATCACCACATCTGTAACAAATACAACTACAGCTTCAACTACAGCTTCAACTGCAACTGTGAACCCTACAACCACTACAACTGTAACAACTGCTGAGCCAGTCAAAATACTGGCGGTGAAATTCAGATCTGTTAAAGGGATATTTACGACTGACTTGCTGACTTCATCATCCACAGCGTTTAAACAACGAGCTACACTGATAAGGACAGCAGTAAGTTTGTTTTCTTCAAGTTGAACAATATTTAAATGTCTGTATTCTAATTAATTGCATAATTTTTAGATAAAGTCACATAACAGTATTTCTGTGGCATACCTTAAAAAAGCAAACAAATTATATGCTAGTCCTTTTTCTATCCCTACGTTCAGGTCTCCTTTCTAAAGTCATCAATTTTTCCGTTGTTACTAATATTATACAGACTGAGCTAAAAAAAAATCATATACATTATATCCAATAAACAATGTGGAAAAATATTTGCACCATATAACTGAGCTAAAACTCCACAGTAAATACTGCTGGGGTTTCTATTTTTACCAATTGAATGCCATGATTTCTAAGAGATCAAAGAAAAAGATAAAGCATAAATGTGACCTGTGACATATTCATTATGTGCTAACCATTCAAAAAATGGGCAGCTGGACGAACAGAAAGAAAATATTAAATATTAATTGCACTATGATATTACATAGTGCAAATAACATATCACAAATGACATGGAAGTGAAGGAGCACAAGCCCAAAAAACAATGCATACATACTTACAGTGTGTTTATTCATATTTCTGCAGCTTGAACCTTTCTACCAGGAAAGATTTCCTTCATTCCGCTTCATCACTGTGACTGCATTCAGGTATATTGTTTATGGTATACGATTTCACAAATATTTAAACTAAATAAAGTAAAAAAAAGTTTGGGGTTATTTCTTTTGCAGTAATGGGTCCATTGTCAATGACATGGACATTGGATTTGCATTGTCTCTGGTCCCTAATGCAAATGAGATTGCGCAAGTTTTGATTGATGCAGCCAAGATAACACCCTTCGACATTGAAACCAGTTCTATATTTGTGAACGGCACACGTAAGATATATTTAATACAATCATGTCAAACATGTTTCTATATTTTAGAACAGTTTCTGAAAGCAATGCATTTTTTTTTCTCTTTTTGTCAACATTTACAAAAGTGTCACATGGAGTGAGCCACAAGATCAGTCTCCTCACTGCCTCCTGTATGGTGCTGCTGTCATGGCTTCTGTCAGGCCAGCAATAACATCTGCGCTGATGCTTTTGTGAAATAACTTGAGGAAATGTCTCCTGTGACTGGGTATGAAAAATGATTTTTACAACAGAAAATCCACGAGGAACTTCTGATGAAGAGCACTCATAGTATGATTTAGAAGTAACTAAAGCTAAAATGAACCTTTATGTAATCAATCAGTATAGATTTGAACATAATTTCTGATGAAGGTCATTGGGTGTCAATTTATAATGTAAGAGATAAAGTCATAATGTAAGTTAGACATATCAGTGAGACAAAGTTTTTTTTTTTTATCCATAAATGCAACTCCTCAGCTTAAGAATCTGACTGTGAAAGAAAAGAAGTGATACTCAACATAGCATCACCTCACCTGGCATACTGGAAATATAAGATGTGTGAAAATATCCTGTATGATTACCAGTGACTTTTACCAGTCAATATTTAAATATATTTGTTGTATGTATCTTATTCTTGTATTGTATGTATTATGTTTGTGTTGTATTGGATAACTCAGACAAAAATCTAAGTCTAAGTGATTCTGATATTTAAAATGATTTAAAATACTATTGTTATTAAAAAATAACATTAATATCACCTTTTTCCTTCTGAAGCAGGTTCTTTTGAAGTCTATCACGATAAACTGAAGAAGCTTCAATTAAAGACTCTTAATTTTTAAACACACTTTAATCCGCTATTCTCTCTCTTTTTTTTAAATCAGGAAAAACAAATAGGAAATACTATCATGGGACTTTTAGGTTCCCATCAAAGATTTTTGATACACATATAATTAAATCAAATTCTTAGTTTCACATGTTACTTACATCTTACTTTTTAACCAACATCATTTCTTTTCAGCATTGTCAGTGTTTCAGTGAGGGGGCCTGTTTGTTGCGTAACTGGTGTAATTAAATAATAACTCATTGGTAATAGCATATTTATTTACAATTGTATATGATTAATGTTGTGTGTAGAAGTCAGTCAGTGACCTGGTGACATGGCTATGTTGTACACCTCCTGGGACTACCAAGAAGAGATATCCCAACTTACTTTGTAGGACTGTAATATCAACATTAAAATAAATAAATAAATAATAATGATAATAAATAAAATGTCATAAATAATAGGAAAAAAGAACAAATTAAGGATGAATAAAGAATACACAAAAATAAAAACTGAAAAAATTAGTAATACCATTTCAGCAACCTTCTATGCCACTTTAAATACACATGTCTACATACAGACGTATAAATAAACCAACACATGCATATACATTTCTTATATAGAATAGAATAATCCTTTAATTGTCCCACAAGGGGAAATTTGGTTGTAACAGCAGCCAGAAAGACACATATATAACAAACAGTACACAGGACACAGAACAGAAACATACACAATTTTTCTTACATATTTACATTAAGGACAGTGGTTACTATATACAGAGAGTACTGTACAGTTATTAAATAAAATAAAAATAACTACAGATAAGAGGCAAACCAGGTTGTAGTGCGAATCGGTTGATTAAATTATTGCAGTTACAGCGCAGATGTAAACATCTATGATTGTTGGGAGCAGTTTTGATTGTACAGTCTGACAGCTGCAGGGAGGAAGGACCTGTGGAAACGCTCCTTCATGCATCTAGGATGTAGCAGTCTGTCACTGAAGGAGGTCTGCAGTTCAGCAACAGACTCTGTCCATCAGAGATGTTATTTTGGCCAGAGTCCTTCTGTCTCCCACCATCTGCACTGGGTCCAGGGTGCATCCCAGAACAGAGCTGGCCTTCCTGATGAGTTTATCCAACCTCTTCCTCTCAGCTGCCAATAAACTGCTGCTCCAACATACAACACTGTAAAAAATGACGGATGCCACCACAGAGTCATAGAAGGTCTTTAAAAGCGCTCCCTGTACTCCAAATGACCTCAGCCGCCTCAGCAGGTAGAGTCTGCTCTGATCCTTCCTGTAAAGAGCATCAGTGTTGTGGCTCCAGTTCAGTTTATTATTCAGGTGAACACCCAGGTACCTATAAGAGTCCACTATCTCAATGTCCACTCCCTGGATGTTCACCGGTGTCAGTGTGGTGGGTCTGCATCTCCGGAAGTCCACCACCAACTCCTTGGCTTTCCCAGCGTTGATCAGCAGGCGTTTCTGCTGACACCAGTCAACAAAGTCCAGAGTCCACTGTGTGTACTCTGAGTCGTCCTCACCTGTGATGAGGCCGACTATGGCAGAGTCGTCAGAGAACTTCTGTAGGTGGCAGCGTGGGGAGTTGATGGAGAAGTCTGCAGTGTAGAGGGTGAAGAGGAACAGTGCCAGCACAGTTCCCTGTGGGGCCCCCGAACTGCAGACCAGCATATCAGAGACACAGCCTTGTGACCTCACATACTCTGGGCGTTCTGTGAGGTAGTCCAGTATCCACTGGGACATGTGGTGGTCCACTCCCGATAGCTCCAGCTTGTCTCTCAGAAGTCGTGGCTGGATGGTGTTAAAAGCACTGGAGAAATCAAAGAACATGATCCTCACAGTGCTTCCAGGCTTCTCCAGGTAAGTCAGAGCTCGGTGCAGGAGGTAGATGATGGCGTCCTCCACCCCAATGCCAGGCTGGTAAGCAAACTGCAGTGGATCCAATGAAGACCTCACCAGGGGGCGCAGATGGTTTAGAACCAACCTCTCGAGGGTCTTCATCAGATGCGATGTCAGGGCTACCGGCCTGTAGCTGCTGAGGTCCTTTGGTTGGGAGGTCTTTGGTACCGGTACCACACAGGATGTCTTCCACAGCTGTGGTACTTTCCCCAGTGACAGGCTCAGGTTGAACAGATATCCTAGGATGCCACACAGTTCATCTGCACAGCACCTCAGGAGCCTGGAGCTGATGCCATCTGGACCTGCAGCCTTGTGCACCTTGATCTTGCGAAGCTCATTCCTCACTTGAAGTGCTGAGATAGAAAGAGTGGATTTTGGGGGAGGGGGGTGTATGTTGGAGTCCACAGAAGCCGGGGGTGGGTGTAATGACTGGGAGCTGGGAGGTGTGAAGCTGAGAGGTGTGAAGTCCTGAGATGAAGGACAGGCAGTCCCTGAAGATGAAGGAAATTGCAGGAGGGGGGACGATGCTGTGGGAGGGGTCGGTGTTTGATCAAACCTATTAAAATATTTATTTAGGCCATTCACCCACCCCAAGTCTCCTGCAGCCTGGGGGGTTTGTTTTTGTCCTGAGATTTTCTTAAGGCTGTTCCAAACCCCTCTGATGTTGTCCTGTTGCAGCTGCTCTTCCTCCTGTAGTTTTCCTTCCCTTGCCTTATCTTCCATTTCAGCTTTTTCTGGACAACTCTCAGCTCCTGTTTGTCTCCAGATCTAAAGGCTCTCTTCTTCTCCTTGAGGAGAGCCTTAATTTCAGGATTTATCCATGGCTTGTTGTTAGAAAAACACCGTACCTTTATGCTGGGTATGGTGCTGTCCACACACAAGTTCATGTAATCCGTAATGCAGTCTGTGATGCTGTTGAGGTCATCCTCCAGGGGGCTGCAGAGGTTCTCCCACACAGTAGAACGGAAAAAGTCCCTCAGGGCCTCTTCAGTCTCTGCCGACCATTTCCTTACTGTGCGTTTCACAACTGGTTCTCTGTGTATTAGAGCAGCGGTCCCCAACCGTGAGTCGTTTGGTACCGGGCCGGGAGAGTTGAGGCTCAGGTGTGAAATGTATAGTTTTCAGCGTTATTTTGTTATCGTTTTTATCGTTAACTCGGTTTTCCTTGGTCTTTTCACGTGTGTTATGAATAAATTTTCTTTTTTTCGGTACCGGTACTAGTTTTATTTTGTTGTATTTATCCGCGACACCTTAAAGGCCGGTCCGTGAAAATATTGTCGGGCATAAACTGGTCCGTGGCGCAAAAAAGGTTGGGGACCGCTGTACTAGAGGTTTATACACAGGCTGGAGATAAACCAGGTTGTGATCTGAGCTCCCCAGGGGAGGGAGAGGTGATGAGCTGTATGCCTCCTTGGTGTTGGCATACAATAAGTCCAATGTTTTATTGTCTCTGGTGTGGCAGGTGATATACTGGGTGAAGGTGGGGAGAGTGGAGGACAGGGAGATGTGATTAAAGCTCCCAGAGATCAGGAAAAGGGCCTGAGGGTGCTGTGTTTGGAGTCTGCTGGTTATATATCAATGATATAACAAATGGCCTGCCTGCATTTGTATAGCGCTTTTCTAGTCCTTAAGGACCCCAAAGCGCTTTACACTACATTCAGTCATTCACCCATTCACACACACATTCACACACTGGCGATAGCAAGCTACATTGTAGCCACAGCTGCCCTGGGGCGCACTGACAGAGGCGAGGCTGCCGGACACAGGCGCCACCGGGCCCTCTGACCACCACCAGTAGGCAAACATGGGGTTAGTATTTTTATATTTTATGATATTTAAATGTATGTACAGTGAAATATGTTTTTGCACCCTTCCTGATTTCCTACTGTTTTGCATGCTTTTCATACTTTGCCACACACGTTTCAGATCATCAAACAAATTATATTATTAGACAAAGTAAATACAAAGAGTAAATGTAAAGAGTAAACAGAAAATGCAGTTTGTAAATCATGATTTCATTGATTCAGGTAGCAAAGTAATCCTAGCTGGTCCCCTGTAGAAAAGTAATTGCTTCTGTTGTCAGATAATGAATTCATTATCTGCAGTGTTGGGTAAGTTACTTAAAAAAAAGTAATTAATTACTAATTACTATTAATTTAGTCAATATTGTATTTAAAATACTTATCTAATTACTGTGTCAGAAAAGTAACTTAATTACTAAATAAGTAATTTAACTAAATACTTCTTAAAATCCCTATAAACCTTGAGTGGACAAACAATAGAAATTAAACTCTTTAAATAATAAATTTTTTTAAAGACGGAGACTCTACAGTACGCAGCGGTAGCATCTCTTCCACAATGTAGCCTGCAATCATTTTTTAAGCTCACCTTCAGACGCTTTCTGTGCTGCTGAAGTAAAATCAGGTTTTGCCTGCTTAGCAGGAGTTGCCGCGGTGTTATCCATGGATGATGAACAAGGATCACTCAGAAGTGTTCGTCTATGCTCTCGTGTCAGGCGCTTCAGTAGATTACTCGTGCTATTAACAGCAGCCGATAGTTTTTTCTCCCCAGGACATAGCTTACATATTACTGTAATATTCTTGTCTGCTTGTTTCAGAAAAGTGAAGAGACGGGAATATGTCCATTTCATAAAACAGCCACTCGCTTCAGCCGAGTCCGACATCTTCCGCTTTAGA